TTTTCATTCCTAATTGCATGGATCTGAGCCTTTTCTTTCCTTTTTTTGATAAGATTAGCTAAGGGTTTGTCAATTTTATTTATTCTTTCAAAAAACCAGCTCTTTGTTTCATTTATTTTTTGTATCGTTTTCTTAATTTCAATTGCATTGATTTCTGCTCGGATCTTTATAATTTCCTCTCTTGTTCGAGCTTTGGGTTTTTCTTGCTCTTGTTTTTCTAGGAGTCTAAGTTTCATCGTTAAGTTGTTTATTTGAGCCCGCTCTGTTTTCCTAGTGTGGGCATTCAATGTTATGAATTTTCCACGTAGAACTGCTTTCATTGTGTCCCAAAGATTCCTGTATGTTGTATTGGCATTCTCATTTATTTGTAAAAACTGTCTAATTTCTTCTTTAATTTCCTCTGTAATCCATTGATTGTTTAGGAGAGTGTTGTTCAGTTTCCATGTGCTTGTGAAGTTTCTATAGTTTCTTGTGCTATTGATGTCTAGTTTGATTGCACTATGATCTGATAATAAACAGGGGATGACTTCAATTTTTTTGCATTTATTTAGACCTGTTTTGTGAGCCAGTATGTGGTCTATTTTGGAGAATGATCCATGTGCAGCCGAAAAGAATGTATATTCTGGTTTTTGGGGGTGGAATACTCTATAAACATCTATTAAGTCCATGTGTTCCAAAGCTTGGTTCAGTTCTATTATTTCATTGTTGATTTTCTGCCTAGTAGATCTGTCAATTTGTGATAGTGGGGTATTTAAATCCCCCACTACAATTGTATTAGTGCTTATTTGGTTTTTCATGTTACTTAATATTTGTTTTATATAGTTGGGGGCATTTATATTTGGTGCATATATGTTTATGATTGTCAGCTCTTCCTCTTGAATTGTTCCCTTTACAAGGATGTAGTGTCCTTCTTTGTCTCTCTTAATGAGTTTTGGTTTGAAATTTACTTTATCTGAGAATAAGATTGCTACCCCTGCTTTTTTCTGGACTCCTGACGCATGGAGAATTGTTTTCCATCCTTTCACTTTCAGTCTATGGACTTCCTTTTGCACTAGGTGTGTTTCTTGTATACAACATATTGTTGGATTTTGCTTCTTAATCCATTCTGCCAATCTGTTTCTCTTGATTGGTGAATTGAGGCCATTAACATTGATGGTTACAACTGATATATTTTGACTTATTCTTGTCATGTTTTTGTCCATTTGTTGACTCTTTTTACTTTTTCTCCCATCTCCTTTTAGTTTCTTGCCTTGCCTATTTGATTTGGTCTGTTGGGCCTCATGTTATTGTGAATTTCGTTGTCCTTTTCTAGGATATTGTTTAGAATTCCTTGCAGTGCTGGTTTGGTGTTCATGAAATTTCTCAGGTGCTCTTTGTCGTGGAAGTATTTTATTTCCCCATCTATTTTGAAAGAGAGTTTTGCAGGACACATCAGTCTAGGTTGGAGATTCTTTTCTTTTAGGACTTGGAATACCTCACTCCAGGCTCTCCTTGACCTAAGGGTTTGTGTTGAAAAGTCTGCTGTGATTCTAATTGGCTTTCCTTTGTATGTGATTTGTTTCTTTTCTCTTACTGCTTGTAGTATTTTGTTTTTCTGTTGGATTTCTGGAATCTTGATTATTATATGTCTAGGTGTAGATTTTTTTTTTATCGTGGTTAGTTGGGGTTCTATATGCCTCTCTTATCTGTATGTCTAATTCTTCCCTTCTGTTTGGGAAGTTTTCTGTCATTAATTCTGTGAAGAGCTTTTTTATGTCATTTGCGTTTTCTCCTGTTTTTTTCATGAATTCCTATTAGTCTTATGTTATTTTTCTTTGTATCATGTAGGAGTTGTTGGATTGATTTCTCATGATCCCTTACTGTTTTTAAGAGAACTCTTTTTTCACTGTCACTGACTGCGATCCTATCTTCTATATCTGAAATTCTATCTTCGCAATCTTTTATTCTGTTGGGTACACTTTCAATAGAGTTTTTAATCTCCTGGATATCTGTTTGAATCTGTTTTATGGATTCCATTTCTTTCTTCTGTTGGGCATTCGTTGTTTCCATTTCTTTCTTATGCTGAGTCTTCATCTGAGGCCATACTCTTAAGTGAAATGAGTAGGATGCACATGTGTAAGTACTGAATAACTTATCTTGTGTGAGAAACTGTAAGAGTAATTGAGGACTAAAATGTAAAATAGATAATACTAAAATAGGAAAAAATGTCTAAAATGGAAGAGGTACTGGGGTTGGGGGGTGGGGGAAAGTAAACAACATGAGAAGAGAAGGAAAAAATGGAAACAAAGTTTTTATAAATAGAGATGGGTGGAAGGGAAGGAAGGGAAATGGGGAAAGAAAGCAAGAACCTAGATAGATCATGGACAGGTACAAATTCCCAATGATGAATGTGATCATAATGTATCACTACAATGTACCAGTAAACTTAATGGAATAAAAAAGTCTGCTATTTCTTGCAGAAATTTAGATTTGAGAGGTGAAGTGTAGGGCCGGGTAGGGAGAATGGAACTGCTAGGTTGAATTAACATTACAGAATCATACAGTGCCAGATCTCAGTTTTGCATAATTCTTTTCAGGGCAGGTCTGTACTGTGTGTTTACATGGTGAATTTAGGTTGTAATGATTATTTTAAAGATTTCTGTAGATTTGTTAACTGTTACCCAAACTGTACTAACTCCTAGACAGTTTAGAGCTCTTGGAGAGCATTTACAGTCTGGTGACAGCCCCCCTTTTAAGCTAATTTTCCCCAAACCCTGATTTCCCATTGCTTCTTGTTCATTATGTCTTTGACCTGTTGTATTTCATGTTGAGTTTATCTATCAACATGCTACACCTATCAAGTGAGAAATTTTATTTTTACTTATTTATTTAGAGCACATTGTACTGAGAACCACTTACAAAATGAAAGCAGAGAAATCAGTGTTGCCTCGGTTTTGTTGGAAGTAGACTTCTTTGGTCATTTTCTCTCCTTGATGAAGATTTTCAATTTTCATGTTTTAAATGGTTTTGCTTGTGCCTTGGAGTCAAAGTTTTTGTTCCTAGTGGTTAGAAAACTGTCTGCTGGGCCAGCTGACTTTAAGAAAAACTAAGGTATGGGGGACACCACTTAAAACATTTTTTTCTCTAAGTATCACTAGTTTGTGTGTCTGTCAAATGCAGAAGCCCAGGGATGGCCAGTATTCTGCCAAATATCAAAGTATATTTAAAAGTTAAATGTGTGTTTTTCCTTTCTTGCTGTACCCATGCTGTCACTTAACCCCCAGAAGTTACTTATCTTTTTGCTAATATCAGGCTCATTTTGTGTGAAGATATGTATATATTTTTCTTATATAAATACACACAAATATATACACACAAAAAACAAAGTAAAAAACTTTTGTGTATCAAAAGATACCACTAATATAGTGTAAAAGTTAGCTATAGACTGGGAAAATATGCACAATACAAACATCTTATGGAGAATTTGTATCATGAATACTAAAAGCCCCAATCATTTTTTTAAAACTCCAATTTTTAAAATAGACAAAACTTGGCACTTCACAAAAGAAGATATACAAATGGACAAAAAGTGCATGAAAGTGTGTACTATCACAAATGCCAAGGACATGCAAATGAAAACCACAATGGTATGCTATTTCAAGACCCTGAACCACAAGCCACAGTGAGCTGCTTGCATCATTGAAAGCTCTAAAATGTTCGCCATCCCTGAACTAGAATGATTAAAAATTAAAAGACACTGAAGACAGTAAAAGTGCAGCTTGTAAGGTAGCCAGAACTTTTTTTTCCTATGGTGCTGGAGATCCCACCCAGGGCATCACGTATGTTAAACAAGTGCTCTACGACTAAGCTAAATCTTCAGGCCTTTTGAATATGTCACATTGTGAAATGATAAAATCACTTCGAATGATGATTAACTAGATTCTTATGATGTTAAATGTACATTAACCCTATGATCTAACAATTCCACTCCTAGGTATTGGAACAAAGTTAATGAAAACATATATCCAGAAAAATAATTTTATAGTAATGTTTGTAAGACCTTTACTTATATTATTTCAAGTGGAAGGTGATCTAGATGTCCACAGAGTTGATAGGTAAATTACAGTGTATTTCATACAATAGAATACTAGTCAATAGTAAAAAGTACTACGGATACATGCAGCAATGTAAATGATCCAAAATATCAAGAATAGCAAAATAATCAAGATACAAGTGTGAATAAATGAACAAATGGAACAAACGTGAACAAATGAACAAACTGGAAATCTTCTCTGTGCTGACAGAATCAGAATAACATTTGCCTGTAGATATTGGGATTGATTTAGGAACTTGAAGAAACTTTCTGGGGTAACCAAGGCATTCTACATCTTAATTTAGATATTATTTATACAGATATATATTAAGCCCATTCTATTACATTTAGGATCTATGTATTTTAGCAGAAATTAAAAATATGTTGGGCCAGGGATTTAGCTCAGTGGTTCTGCTGCCTGCCTCGCAAGCCCAAGGACCCGAGTTTGATCCCCTGTACAAAAAAAAAAAAGATACTAGTAAAAATATGTCTAGCCGTGGATATAGCTCAGTGGATCCACCACCTGCCTCACAAAGGCAAGGTCCTGAGTTCCATACCTGGTACAAAAACAAAAACAAAAAACACAAAATATGTTCAGACCAGCAAAACATCTGGATGACACTTGTAACTCCTCTCTAAAAAAGAAAATTCTTGGTACTGAGAATTGAACTCAGGACCTTGCACTTGCCCTTGCCAGGTGCAGGTGCAGGGCCACTGTGCTAAATCCCTGACCCTTACAATTTTCTTACATAGAATTTTAAGCATTTTTTCATTGTATTCTACATTTATATGACTTAAAAATTCAAAAGCATTAAAACAAAACAAATCTAGAAAAATAAAGGAAGAAACTAAAAATTATTTCATCCTTGTTTCCTATCCTCTATCCCACCCTGTAGAAAGCCCTGCATTTTCACAGGGCAGGGGGTGATGTAACTCAAGAAAACATGATGTCATCCATTAAATATCTTGTTGAAGTCATAGCACTAGAATTGCAAGCATCAGAGCTGGAACTAGAAATTTTAACCTTGGTACTGGGGATTGTTTGCACAGGTCTTTGTACAGAATAAAGTTATGACTTTTCAAAGCATGGCTTCTGGAAGGTTTTCACATGCTGTCAGACCTCCTTGGGTAGTCAGGTTAGAAATGCTCTTTTTGGCAAGGGCTCTTGCTATTTCTAATTGTTGAAGCCATCGTTTCTCTTTAAAGGCACTGGAAGAAAATAAGAGAATTCATCAGGAGGGTTAGTCTCATCCCTTTTCATAGATGAAAGAGTGGAAATATTCAGGTTGATTTTTGTAGTTGTGGCTAGTTTGTCTTATTACGTGGGTAGGATGTGAATAGAAACAAGATTCTTTGTAAAACCAATTCTTTGTGATGTTGTGGTAATGAGGTGTTCCCAAGCCAATACTAGAAGTTTAGAGCTTGCAGCTAGAAACAGAAAGCCTATTAATATCCTGTAAAATTTTTTAGCTTGAGACGTTTTCAATTTGTCCTTCTTATATCACATATTTGTAACCAGTTCTCCTCCAAATGCCCATTAGGATTTTCCATTGAGGAAATCTAAGTTTTTTGAAAATCTTTAACTGAAATGTATGTAACTTTTTTTTTTTTTTTTTTTTTTTTTTTTTTTAGGATCAAGCTTACTTGCAAGGCAGATAGCAGAACCACTGAGCTAAATCGCCAGGCTGCTTTAACTGAAATGTACTAGAAGTTATTTCAGATAGTTGTTTTCTGGCTACCTACTAAGGAAGACATAAATTTGACTGTGACTAATCCTACTTCATAGGATGCAAATGTGTTCATTACAGAAGAATTGTACATCTTCTTAAATGTCGGAGTCCTCTAAGATTTAACCCTTGTTCCTCCTCCCTTTGTCCCTTTATGCTGGGAAGTTCACTTATGCATCGCTTCAATTCTGTTCAGGACCCCTAAATCTTGGCCTTTCTTAAAACTTACATATCTCCAGTTAGCAAATAAAACTGTCAAATTTGACATATCTTTAATCTTCTTCCAGTGAGGACACATTGCCTTTGCTGTCCTCCTCATCTCTAAAACTGGAAGCAAAACTCAATTCCTTCTTTCTCCGCTCATACTCCCAATTGGTGCCCAAACTTCATAGGCTATTCCCCAGACGTAGCTTCTCTCTTTAGTACTTTCTCTCTTCCCTGACTACTACTGTTATCGTAGTCTAAATACTTATTATTTCTTGCTTCTCTTATTGCTGCTTCTTATTTTAGCGTTTTCACACCTTTCCAGTGAGTCTCCTATACATCTCCACCAGCTTTGTCTTCAAAACATAAACAAAAACCGACGAAATTACTTACTTTATAAAAAAAGGATCTTGGACTGGGGATTTAGCTTTATGGTGCCACCGCCTGCCTTGCAAGTGCAAGGACCTGAGTTTGATCCCCGGTACCCCGAAAATATAAATAAATAAATAATAATAATAATGAAGTACCCAATTTATACCTCATGAAAAACAAAATAAGAATTCAATTCTCTGCTAGGACATAAAAATGTTTCTTAATTTAGATGCAATGTACCTAGCCAGCCTTATGGGCAATAAATTTCTCCCTAGCCTCTAAAATGCTTTTTGTAAATCCATTTAACCTCTTGAAAACTACACCTCTTGCTTGCTCTTTCACAAAGCAGTATCTTTGACCAGGTTACTGTCTTGATCTAGATCCTTTCCTTCATTATCACTACTTTTGTTTACTAAAGTCCTGTAGATTTTTTTTTAAGGCTTCCACTCAAACTGTTGGGAGCAGCCTTGCATAAAAACATCTTAGTGTTTCAAACATTTCAACTACATCTATCCATGCCTGCTTAACTTATTTGCTCTGGATTAACTTCTTGCTTTACCTCTATGAATGTGTCTTTCTGGGCCCTCTAAGGTGAGTTCATCCATCTGTGCTGCTTTTAAAATCAACTTAAGCCTTGAGGTTACTCAAGAACCTTTATTTATCCTTCCATATCCCACCCAACTTAATTTGAAATGTTCTCTCCATTCTGATGTATGTCCTAGTTCCTCCTCAGTCCAGAAATCACCTTCATTCTCTCCCTGACATTTGAACCCTAACTTATCTGCATTCATGCAAAAACTGTGTGTTGACACCGTGCCTGCCTTGCAAGCACAAGGTCCTGAGTTCAATCACTGGTACCAAAAACAAAACAAAAAAACTATTGAGTACTTCCTTTTATGTCAGGGAATCTTCTGGATACTAGGGATACAAAAAGTAAAGAAAAGAAACAAGTTATGCCTTGGTATTAAAAAAATAAAACACGAAACTTTAATATGGAGCCCAAGAACGCGTCAGAGTCAGTATTTGGGATTGCTGTCTACTCTCAGCTCCCTTTAATACTCCACCTTCTGGACAAATCCCTCACATTTGAAACTTCACTAAATCAGATTTCTAGGCTACAAAATGCTCGCTGGGATCAGATGATATGCAATAAGCAAGGTTAGCGTCTAGTTACATTTTAGTGATAGCCTTTGATCTCTGTAAAGCCCACAGCAACTCATAGGCTGAGGGGTTACATGCTGTGTGACCCTTTGGCCTCTGCCATGAATTTACCAACACAGGCTTACACCAACACTTGGTCTATGCCAGTGGCAGGGAGCATTTTTGAGCTTTCAATGATACAAACAACTTGCTGCGGCACACGTGCTGTAGGTTTGTCACCACAGGTCTAGGTTAAAGGCAGCAATGCTACATTTTTTTTTTCCTTTTGTTTGTGACAGGGGATCGAACTCAGAGCCTTACGCTTGCGAGACAGGCAGTGGAACCACGGAGCTAAATCCCCAGCCCAGCAATGCTAGCTTCGATTCAACCCTAAGAGGTATATTTATGAATCCAAATGGCACATGGCTCAGCATACACTTTTACACAATGCCGGATGAGTTTTCTGTGGTCCCCTCCTTACACTGAACAATCACCAATGGCTGTGCACTGGCCCAATTCCCCGGACAGCATTATGGATCACATTAGGTTCTTCCCCATCGCCTGGCTCTGATAGTAGTTTGCTAATGATGCACAAAGCCATCGAAATGGTGCACATCCTCTCATGTGTATCTTTTTGGTCCAAGAGCTGCGTTGGTCATCGAGAGATGAGTGCTCAGACCCCCTGATTGCCTCCCTTGACAGGATGTTGTATACAGACATACGTGTTTCTGTGACTGGGGCCTGGAGCAGATCAAGAAGAAGGCACAGAGACAGGAGTCTAAAGGCCTCCCTTTTCTCTCCACAGTCCACCAACAAAAGCAAGTGGAACAGATCCTGGGAAAGGTGTCGTGGAAAGAGAACAGAAACAAATGGGGAGAGATGGGGCTGAGGATTTAGCTCAGTGGTGCTGCCACCTGCCTCGGAAGTACAAGGTCTGGAGTTTGATTCCGGGTACCAAAAAAAAAAAAAAAAAAAAAAAAAAAAA